CACACTTCCGGTGTCCGCCAGGCCCCGCCCCGTCTGCCAGGCCCCGCCCCGTCCGCCAGGCCCCGCCCCTTCCGCCAGGCCCCGCCCCGTCTGCCAGGCCCCGCCCCGCCCCGCGGAGACCCCAGAGCCCGGCTACTCGCTAGCTCATTCCATCTCTTCAGAGGCTCCTGACCAGTTCCGAGAGGTTCCCAGATGGGGAACGGGGGCTTAGAGTTCCCATCCGACCCTCTGTGGCTTGGAGTGAAAGTCCTCAGTCACTGGGTTTGTGTAGGAACTTAGGGCTCCCCTCCCAAGCACCCAGAGCTAAGCAACCCTTCGGGAAGCTTCTGGAGCGCAACTTGCCATGTTGTGTTGCTACTTGGACTGGAAAGTTTTAGCCCTGACTGCTCAAAGGCACATGTCAACAGCTTCGAGAGGTGGATTATTTTTGTTGTGCAGGTGAAAAAATTTAAGAGAAAGAATGCACGTCCTTTGGTTCACAAGGATCCAGTCTGGGCAGGAGCTGGTTCCTGGTCCCAAATCCAGGCCAGAGGAGTGTGGTTGGCGCTTGGGTGAGAGAGTCCTGTTTTTGGACCTCCTCTGTGGGATGTGGACCCCTCCCCAGCGTGACCGCCACAAGTGCCCCCTCGATGCTGCCTGGGGAAGACTTCTCGTGGACTGAAAACCACTGCCATCAGCACACAGGTAAAGACGAGCTGGGGTCCGGCAGGCAGTCCCAGCTCTGGTCCCTGCTGCGTGACTTTGGCAGCAGGGTTCCGTCCATACTCCTGAAGAGGGCCAAGCCCAGGCGCTGTCCGCTCCTGAACAGTTCTCAGGCTCTTCTCATCAGGGACTCGTGTTGATTTACTGTTCTTCTGAGTCCTGTGTCCATAGCGACCTAGAGAGTAAGTCATTAGGTAAAGAAGTAAAAACTGGGACGGCGACTGGCTGTAAAGAAGTTAGTGCCCACCACTTTTGAGCATGGCAGAGGCTCAGAGGCTCGTGTTCACTGTTAGTACTTGTGTCACCTTATATTTCTAGAAATAATCAGGTTGGTGGATACAGAGAAAAGCTTGGTGATAATGATAATTCTAAACCAAGGAATCCTACTCTAACTCCTCTCCATAGCAAACAGGAGTAAAGGAAGGAGATGGGAAAACATAGACAGCCCAGTGTCTGTCTGAATTCTGAAGTTTCAGAGAATCTTGCCTTCATATACTTTGCACTTCGTTCAGTTGTAATATGTTGGTTTTTCTCTGACTAAGAAACATTTTGCTTTCTTTAAAGTGCCATGTCATTCCCAGGGCAAATGTTTCTTTGAAAGCTAAATTGAGGCCTTGTTTGGTAATTTTATTTAAGGGTGCCATCTAGGGGTACATCTATGAATCTTTTAATTCCTCCCACTTCTGACATTTTTATCAGGTGGCCGGTCGGGTTTTGCCTTTCTGTTGACTCCATCTTCCACTACTGTCATGTACTCCTCAGTGGCCGGGGGCTGGCATCTCCACATAGGGTCAGGATGTGGTCTTGTGAACATCCAATGGATTGATAAAATAACTCTTTACAGGGCCGGCCAGATAGCTCAGCAGACTAAAATGCTGCTCAGGCAGACACAGAGACAGGGTTCAATCCCTGGTGTGCCCTGCTGGCCCTGGCATCCCCCAACCCCCACACACTGAGACAGTGATTGAGACTGGTGTTGTGGCATGGGCCTGTAATCCCAGAGCTTGGGAGGCTGAAAAAAAGAAGGATCACTAGGAGTCCGATTTGTGTAGTGAGACCCTGTAGACCCTGTGTGTATTCAATACATTAAAAAAATAAAGATAAAAAAATAACTTCACACACAATCTCTCCTATGGGAAGCAAGTTTTCTTTTGTTTATAAACTCAGGCTGTAGTTCTTTGTTATAGTAGCCATAAAGGCCTATGACACTTGCTCTAGTTAAGAATTTACTTTCAGGCATCAGAAAAGGTCAGGAGCACTTGGCTTTGAATCAGAACTGTGTAAAATTCCCCAGCAAGGGATTGAGACTCTAAACTGTTAATACCACAGAGACAGAAGCAATCTGGCGCTTGCTGTCCTCTCCTTTCCAAGATAGAAGACATCCATTTAAATTTTAATTGCAGGTAAAAACAAATAAATTTTTGGTAGAAATATGGCCCCAAAGTGGGACTTACTTCTACTGAAACATTATTTTGCCTGAAATTCTGCTTTCACTGGGCATCCTGTGTTTCACCTGGGCACTTGGAGTTGAGAGGATTGAGGGTGTTGAGGCCCACATTCCGTCTTGGGAATTACTAAGCAGAAATCAGATAACAAATAATTCTAATACATGTGAGGTGGCTTCAGAAGATGATGCGTTCATTCTTTGTAGCAAGTGTTTTATTTATGTTTCATCTTTCTTCAGACTACATGTTGGTTTTTAGTTATAGCCATGGAGCAGTTTTCATAACCAGGCTCAAGCCCCAACTTTTCTGCTGACCTCATTAGTCTGACCACGGGCAGACTAATTAGCTCAGTGACCGTTTCCTCACCATAAAATTGGGATAATAATGTTCATCATCTTGATTGTTGCTGTGCTGTTGATTATCCCAGAGCTTTTCGTGCTGGTTTTTCTGATATGAACTCAGCTGTGCTCATCGTCAGAGCAGCTCATGTCCTTGCTGCTGCTAAGGATGGCTGCAGTTTTTAAGGAGTGCTGTGGTCCTTACCTTGAGCACCGCTTCCTAGCTTCAGTACGGATCCCTCAGCCTGCTAGCATAGATCCTGATCCCTGCCGATGCAGACTTTCTACCTTCTACCACTGACCTTTGGGGCCCAAAGGTCAGTGCACGACACATTGCTGTGGGCTCTCAGCCTCCAGCTGGACTTGTGTAAGACATTGCTACGGGATCCAGGACTTCAGCTGGATTCTTAGGTCTCTAATGCATGGATAGGTCTCTTACACCGTTCTGCATTTGACTTTTTGGGTGAATATTAAAAAATAATCCTATAAACTATCTGTCCTGCGTTAAATCTATTCCCTTACAAACCCTAACTACACAGAGACCAACTGTGAGGATGGAGTGAGCACAAAGTAGAAATGGAGCACTTGGTGCTCCGTAGTGCTCCTCAAAGCAGCTCAGAAATGTGTGTGTTCTGGCTAGCTCCTGCATGGAAAGCACTGGATTCAGCATTACTGGGCCTGTGTTCAGCCTGTAGCAGCACTGCTTATGAGTTATGCATCCGTCAGTTTGAGATTCTTTGTCTGTACATATAGTTTTTTTGGGGGAAAAGAAATGGAAAAAAGCAGCTATACAAAGGGCACTCACAAAGAGCCCAGTAACTTTAATTTGGCTTTCAGAGAACTTTGACAGCATTATGTAACACGTGCTATGATTGTTTGGCCAGCAGCTAACCTTGGTCTTTGTGTGTGAATGAGTATGTGTGACTGTGTTTCTGTGTTTATAATACTGATGTTAGCTGCATCCCTATCACATTGGGACCAAAGCAAACTTGGACCAAGTTTTCCCAGGACTAAAGACATTGCTTCCAGGAGGCAGAGCTTACAGTGGAAAAGTCCTAGGCAAACTGGAACAATCTGACCAATTTCCCACGATGTGCAAGTTGTTCTATACGCATTATCCATTAAACCTTCAAGCCAACCTATGAGGTTGATACACATCATGTCAGTTACAGGTGAAAAGCTCATTTGAGCAATTTGCTTAAGTCATTCAGCTAATTGATGGAAGAGAAGAATCTGAGCCAGACGTCTCCAGGTCTTCACTGCAAGATCTGAGCCATTGTGCTTTGTCACTTAAAGTCAATCCAAAAGCACTGTCTTTCATTGCCACTCACCTCTGCATTCCTGAGTCATTGCTCAACAACTTACATCTTCCTTTCTGTCACTAATTCTTACTTCTGCCCAGCTGAGTCTTTGACAAAGAGTCAGCAGGACAGACGTGGAGCTAGGTCAAGTCCAGTCTTGTATGTAGACCTAGCAGGGGCCCCTCCTTCCCTTAGTAACAGACGCTGGTGCCTGGTTACCAGCCCCAGGGCCGAGAACATGCTTCTGTATACCAGTGTAAAGGCTGCTCAGAGAGGACAAGGGAGACGAGTACAGGGTGGGTGGTGTTTGAGAGAGTCTCCCCTGTTCTGTTTTAATTTTCAACTCTGTTTTAGTTTTCTTCCTCTACAGAAGCCTTGCTATGTTTCAGGAAAAGTCCAAGAGAAGTTCTTGAGGAGAAGGAAGAGTGTTTCAAGGAACAGGAACCAGGAGAGTGAAAGAAACCCAATACCAACAGAACCCCAATGCTGCTCCTTCATTCTCTTTCTTTTTTCTCCTCTTCTACTAGAAAATTCCTCAGAGGTCTGAAGTCTGTGACTTCAGAGAGGCAGCCTTCTGAACAGAGCTTTCAGGCTTCTGGAACGTTCCATTGTCAGTGTCATCTCTATTGTACTGTAAAAAATTTCAGAGTAACTGGAGAGGAACAGTCCTGCTGAAGCTCTTTGCTCATTTTTAATAGGTACAGTTAGAGTCAGCTCTTTAAGCGACATGGATTCCTCATCTAAAAAGGTAGGTATTACTTTGAAAGCATGTTTATTTCTTTACCTGTATTTTCAAAATATAGGGAATTTTAAGAGTATATGGGAGGGGAATGGTCTAGTCAAACATTGATTGTTGTGTTACATTCTCTCGACCTAGCAAGTGTGTTAAATATGGTTATGGTATGTGTGTTGAAATATGATTTTTCCTGACTTAGCCTTTGGGCTAAGAGAAAAACAGAAAAATTTAGAGATAGTCATCTGCTGTCCCTTTTCCTTCCCTTCAAGGTTGCTAGATCACGTATTCCAACCAACAGCCCTTATTTCTGACTGCACATCTGAGTATTCTGGGCATATCTGAAGATGTGGAGCCTTGGTCTCCATCTCCAAAGATTCTGATCTAGAAAATTTGAAGTCCTCAGATCAGTGTTTGGGAATTACTTATATGTCATGTCTGAAGAGGTTCTGCTGCTCCCCATTGTATTCAGTTAAATGCTTGTGGTTTGTTTTCTTCATTAACTCAAGAACACCTTATCTATTTGCATGATATGGTATCTCTTCTCTCTGTCCTGAGTACTCTATCACTGATTCATCTTAACCTTGGATGACTATTTTTTAGTATATTATTATTTTTTATTTTTTTAATGTATTTAGTACAGGGTCTACAGGTCTCACTACACAGATTGGACTTGTAGTGACCTTCCTGTTTTCAGCCTCCCAAGCGCTGGGATTACAGGTGTGCGCCACCATGCCCAGTCTCAATCACCATCTCAGCACATCCCAGGGGCAGGGCTCGCCTGGGATTGAACCCCAGTCCTTGCGCCTTAGTCTGCTGAGCTATCTGGCCAGCCCCATTTGTTAGTATAGAAGGACACAAGTATAGTACAATCTGCCTCGAGCCCAAATCTGTGTATGAGATCAAGTACCAAGCAAGTCCAAGTTAAATCCAGGATTCTAGATGATGTCACCGAGACTCTGCTTTTTTCCTTCTGGTAATTCATTCTGCTTGCTTCTATGTTGTCTTTATTCTAAGGCCAGTTTTCCTCCACATGACTCAGAGACTGTTATCTATTCTAGCCATAAACACTGTCACAGTTAGTGACTCTACTGAGTGCTATTTATCAAGAGCTTTAATGAAAGTGCCTGGAAACAGTCCAGGCAACCCCACTTGGGTCACATGCTTACCTCTGAACCAGTGACTGTGTCTAGAAAGGCGGAGCAGTCTGATTGATGAGACCTGTGTCTCTTGTCTTGTTCTGGAGCCAAGAGATTGGATTAGCTATGTTGTACAACACGGACTGAAGTTGGAGTAGAACCAAGGATACGCTCTGCATGATTTTGTGGGAAGACCCATGTCTCAGTTAGCGCCAGAACTGAAGTCAGCTTTTTCTCCACACTGGGTAGACAAATGAATGCCAGGATTTCTCTTGGATAATGTTAATATTCTCCTTGATTGCAGAAGGCCAGCTTTTTGGGGAGGAGCATTAATTATTCATTCTCACTCTTGTAACTTTGTAACTTAATCAAGATATTCCAATTTTGTGGTGTTCCTTTGTTGTTCTTGCAATACAAATTTTTATTTGGAAAAGATTGAAAATCTAGGCCAAAAGAAAGACTCCTGCTGTCCACAAAACCTTGTTGCTTGCAGAGACACAATGCAGACAGCCCTAGCCCATCGGTCATACACGTATTGCATGTGGGATCTGCAGAGAAATGATGAATAACTTCATATCCCTTGAAGTATTGCTGATAAAAATCTTCCTTATGTGGTATAGTACCTGCTTTAGATAATCAAATTACTTTGCAATTGATGCCACGATTTTTCCATCTTGTTTGCCTCATCAGTATGGACCTAGGATTAATTTCGTTAATAGAAATTCTTGGAGATGTTTGGTTAAGGTCTGAGAACTCCAACTGAGCTCAAGAGCAGAAAGGCAGAGGGGGTGGTTTTAATCAACAAAGTAATTTCTGTAGTTCTGTGTGATGAAAATAGTAGGGTCAGTAGCTTTCAAATGCATCATGTTTGAGGTAGGATTGAAGCATCCCTATTTGAATGAAGTTTCATTGATGAGTCTAATATGCCACATTTTTTGAGAATAATTGAATTAAGCTATGAGATCAGTAACACATTCTATGTTTTTTTAAAAATATATACATTTATTTATTTGGTACAGGGTCTTGTTATGCAGCTCAGAGTCTTAGTGATCCTCCTGTCTCAGCCTCCTCAGTTCTAGGATTACAGGCATGCGCCTCCAAACAATTTTGGTGTTTGGCGTAGTGCCACAGCATATGGTACCAGGGATTGAACGTTGGTCTTTGTGCTTGCCAAGAAGGCAGGCACTTAGACTGCTGAGCTGTCTTCCTCTGCCACATTCTATGTTTTTAAAGGTCCAAAGCTCAGTATACATCTCTGTTTATGGACTTGCTTATTTTTATTTAATTTTAAGTACTTAACCTTCCTAAAGTAATTTGCTATGTAAGTGATACTTATTTCCAATGTCTCGGGGTTCAAAGTGATGTGTATTTAAAAGCCATTGTTTTAGAAGACAAGTATGCATCTTATGTGGCTAGGATATATTGTCTGTCAGTGCTGGGTCTTAGTTTCATTAGTTAGAATGTATACTTTAACAAATCTCTAAGATTATAAAGTGCCTAGTTCACAATAATTTGGCATAATTGCAAATATCATTGCTGTTGTTATTATTTAGTGAAGTAGGTGCTCCAGAAGAAACAACAGAGATTAACAGGCATCACAGTAAGGGATTGGTTGAGATACAGTGGAGGGGAAGGGACTCATATACCCCTCCTCCACCTGACTCTTTACCAGTGATCTTGTGTGACATGATTTGCAGATCCAAATAAGCCAAGGCCATATAATAATGTCTCACCTTACACAAGACTTATGTTCAAAGGCATTGCCTAAGGTAAAAGCCAAAATTGCCCTTGAAACTCCTTCAAACCAACTTTAAAGTGCTGGATAGTAGGCCAGCAGTTTTTCCTCCAATGTTGGACCAAATTGCAGTGTCTCTGTCAGAGCCCCAGATGAAGTTGTCTTATATGTAGTGGCTGGGTCTTAAGACAAAAAAAAAGATAGTACTGTTTGACATTGTAGTCCTTCTCAGCTCTATTTGGAGGCACTTGGAGAGGCACTTGGCAACCGAGAGGGACTGTGGGAAACACTTCATTCACACCTATCTGAAGCTGCTTCCCTATCTGATGGAATGAGAGTCACACACACACCCACTGTTTAAAGGAAGCACAGGGAATTGCTTATGTGTGTGCTAAGCACATATAAAATTCAGTACCATTCTCTGAGCAAATTTCTACCTCAAACTTCACATATATGAAATGCGAAAGTCAGATTTTAAAAATCACCCCTTTTTAATAACACTCCAGGGAAAAAGGGATATCCAGACTGGCTCATAGAGGGGGAGCTAAGGAAGAGATATTGGAGAAGAGATAGGCTAAAGATGTAAAAACCATGAGACATATATAGTAGATATATATGAAAAAGGTGTCTTATGGGTAGGACTGTGTCCTACCATTCCTGGAGACTCTTTAGGCCTTATCAGCTTCAGAAGCTTGGAAATGTCTCCATATACCTCAATAGTGGCTCTGTTCCCATTTCTCATAGCTTCACAAGAGTGACTCGATACACCACATGAGCCACCCACAGACAAGGCCAGAGCTGCCTCCCCTGCCTGCGTCTGTTGATGAGGAACCATCTGAACTTTATCAGGTATGTACCTCTGACTGCATGCTCTTCTGCTGAGGATGACAAAGTGAAGAAAACCTCCAGCACCTCCAGGTATTCAGAAGACATTAGTAGGGGCCAACATTTGACTTGACAAGTGAGATTAATGGCTTTGGTTGTTTTTACCACTAGAAGAATCTGTAGCAGTATGGGAAAGGAATTAGTGTTATTGAAACCCTCTGCACTTCTGCATCTTCAACTGTAAAGTGAGGGTCATTCTGCCTTCCTTATAGCTATGTCCATAAGGAATAAAGGCAAGAGATATAAACCACTGGATGCTATTGTTGAGTGCCCACTCTCACATGGTGGTAAGAAAAGCATGATTGATTCAGAATGTATTTCCACTGAGCTCACAGAAAGTAGGAACAAAGCATAAGGCATGTGGAGCTCCATGAGTCTAAGCAGAGCCCAAGCTCACAGAGACATCCCTGATTGTGCCTCACTCTGCATTTCTTCCCTGGTAGACTGTCATGTCACACAGCTTTTATCCCCCCTTGATGCAACGAACATCATGGACACTGGCTGTGCCCTTCAAAGAGCAGCGCCACCACCGTGGGCCCAGCGATTCCATAGCCAACAATTACTCATTGATGGCCCAAGATCTAAAGCTGAAAGACCTGATAAAGATCTACCAGCCAGTCACCATCAGTGTCCCCAGGGGCAGGATCATGCAGGGGCTGCCATCAGGTATTTGTGCATTGTGCCTTATTTTGGGGCTTGGAGTAGAACTTCCCCTGGGTTCTAGCCTTGGCTGTCCCTCTTGGACAGCTAACTGAATGACTTTAGAGAGCTTCATTCTCCTCACCTATGAAATGGAGATTATTGCAATGGCTAACATTTATGAATCTTTTGCATATATGAGGTACTGTTCTGTGTACTTGTATTATTCATCACCCCCAAAACACTGTGGCTTAAACAAAGATGGTTTATTATTTTCAGTCTCTGCAGGTCAGGAATCTGGGCATGGTTTAAATGGGTTATTCTGGCTGTAGGCCTCTCAAGACAGAGCAGTCATGGTGCTAGCCAGAGCCACCACTGTAAAGGCAACTGGAGGAGGATCCTCTTTCAAGTACACTTGCATGCTCAGTCCTTGCTGGCTATTCGGCTTTGCTGTCCATATCTCTCCAAGTGTACCTCCAAAGGATAGCTTGGCTTCTGGCTTCCATTGGAGGGAGGGAGGGAGACTCCAGCAAGTATTTTTGGAAGTTAATTTTGGAAGTCACATTTCAAAACTTTTACTGTATTCTGTTTGTTAGAAATGAATCACTAGATCTAGCCTATACTCAAGTGGAGAAGATTACACAAAGATGTGATACCCAGAAGTAAGGATCATTGAGGCCATCTTGTAAACTGCTTATCATAGTGCATTATGGGTATTCATTTATTTCCTCTCACCAGGTACACATATGTTGGCTTGAGTATCCTTTAGTAATTTGTGTTAGGAGATTTTGGAACTATTCAACCTGTTAAGTTTGTTCATATTTTCATTTTTCTCTTGTGCTATGTCATTAAGTAAATTTCTCAATCATACCTTCCAATTCATTGTCTCCTCAACTATTTAATCTTAACTTTATCATGTATAATAAGTAGTTTCTGATTTGATAACAGCACCTTTTCAGTGTTAGATTTTCTGATGGGTTCTACTAAGGATTTCTCCCAATTTCTTATTCTCTTTCTTTTTCTCCATAATTTTATTGAGAAACAAATAGCAATGAGACAATATATTTTTAATTTTTAGAGTATTTTGTTCATTATTGTTGTGATTAGAAAAATAAATCTTAATTGGGAGTCTTCAGTTCTCTTAATTCTCTCCAAGTGTCAATCTAATGTTAATATATCCCTAACATTTCTCTGTTACTTACCAATTTCCTTGAGGTAGAGCTTTCCGCAAATGATGGTACTTAGGTAAAATTTAATAAAATTATTTTTATATAATTTATTTAATGTATTTATAGTTATTTTCTATTTATTACAAGTGGTTTTTTTTCTGTTTTCAGCTATTAGATACTTGTTATAAATAGAACTCATTTTTCTATTTGTGATCATCACATAAAACTTTCTTTACAATTAATTTCACTAAGTTTAAGTACCTTAGTCTATTTCAAGGGGAACATTAAATACTAATTTAACTGATTCTTAGAAAATAGAGTGTTGGGGAGCAAACTGAGTAAGCAGTTATTAACAGTTGTCAAATATATGCCAGTCTTCATTTTACATCTAGGGAAGCTGACACCTGAAGTGATTAAGTCTATTCTTCGGGGCCACACAGGTAATTAGTGATACATGTTGGACCAGAGCCCACACCTTCTGCCTTGCCTCACCATACTTTGTCCACTCCCTTAGCGTGTTCTTGGACTTCTCCCACAGCCCTGTCTGTGTGGAGGAAATGGCCCAAGGCCACTCCCCATCAGTGACATTGCCCTTCTCTACTCTTGTAGGACCTAAAGGCACGTCAGAGCCAAACAAGAAGAAGATGAAGTTCTCCTTTGCTGCCAGAGAGGATCCCACTGGGTAAACACCACTGTGGTCACTAGAGAGCGTGAGCCCCTTCCAGGAAGGCTGTGGCTTTATTAAAGATATGCTCTGATTCTTGCCCTCAAAGCATTCTGGACACTGAATGACTCATTATTCATTATTTGCCTCAATCTAAATTTTTTAGGCTCTAAACAAACGCAGACTAACTCACTAAGCGAAATCAGTGTTAGCATAGCTATGAGGTTTGTAGTGGCTAGGGCCATGTTTGAGATACACATTAGGTGGCATGTGGGGGAGCTCCTTGTGCAGAACCACACTGACAAGATTGGAGAAAGTGGGTCTAAAGAGGGGCTTCTAAGCTAGGGAAATGGCTCAGTAGAATAAGCACTTCCCTGGCAAGCGCAAGGACCTGAGTTCAATCCCCAGTTCCACACACAAAAAAAAAAAAAAAAAAGAGGGACTTCCTCTGTGGAGCCTCTATGGCTGAGCTGTGTCTAATTTTCAGGACCAAGATGGCCTGTAACACCTCGACTTCCTCACTGATGAAGAAGGAGGTGAATACTTCTTTGACTCTCCCAGGAAGCAGACCAATGAGTCCAGAAGAGCAGATTAATGTGATGTTACAGCAGGAGGTGGAAATAGAAAGTCAAGAAAAAAACCCATCTGATTTAGACCTGGAGGTACATTTTTGCTGTCCCTTTTCATTCTGTTAACTATTACTCTTGGCATCTGAGTGATTGAAACTGAAGGAAAGTAGCACTGCAACCTGATTAATATTTTAAGAATAGCAAAGTCCAAATGGAATGATAGACTGCTAAATGTGTGTGTGTGTGTGTATGTGTGAGAGAGAGACAGAGACAGAGATAGACAGACACAGACAGACAGAAAGATGGAGGAAGAGAAAGAGAAAGGGAGATACTGGATTGAACAAGTCTTGGAAATTTGTGTCCTTGTGTTCTCTTAGAACACAGACTGTAAAATGTTGGCCCATAGGCTAGGGTTGCTGGTTTTGCCAAACAAGAAACAGGATACCCAGCTCAGTTTGAATTTCAGATAAACAATGAATATTTTTTTAGTATAAATACATCTTAGTGTGTCCTGTGTTTTTTCTGGCAGCCCTATTACAGCCACGTATGGCCTGTAGATATATTTTTAAAATGAGGGAAATTTCAAGTTAGATTTTAAGCTTCTCTTCAAAAAGCTAAAATAGTTGGAGTTCTGTAGTGCCTTCTATTAAATGAAAATTATATTCTCCCATCAGTCATCATCTTCACCACTGTTTACAATTTTGTTATATTCAGCTAACTTTCACTTATTGCTTACTTTACAACAAAACTTTAGAACAAAAATTAAAAGACATGCAGTTTGTGGGCTTATTGTATGTAGCAAAAACTTAGTAATAAAACTCATAGTAACTGAGTATTGCTCTTGGCAAAATTCTGCTACACCCTTTAGCCGCTTGAACCCATTTAAGACCTGGGCGCCATGACTATCCCCATTGTCCAAGACTGGAAATTAGAGCACGGATAAATGAAGCAACATACCCAAGGTTACAGAGTAAGAGACAATGCTAAGACATAAACTAGCTCTTGTTGACACCAAATCTCTGTGCTCTTAGGAGCTATGCAGCATTTCTCAAACTTGCCTGCACAGAAGAACCAGCCAAAGTGCATATTAAAACCCGGCTTCCTAAAGAGGGCCTGAGCATCTTCATTTTAACAAGAGCCTTACCCTACCTCCCCGCCTGGCGGTTGTTAAAGTCAGGGAGGTTCGGTCATATTGCTATGTACAGATTAACTTGACTTGTGCTGATTTGACTTAGGATTTGTTTGACTTTACAGTGGGATAAAGGCGATATACACCAGTAAAAAGCATATTTTGAACTTTGATCTTTTCCTGGGCTAATATATGCGGAATGTTACTTGCCAGTCATATGTGGTAGTGACAGTGAGCTGCAGCTGCACAATCACAGAGACACAAGTGATACTCTATAGTGTGTTGTGTTGCTAAATTGGGCTGTTCTGTAGGTTGGTGTGTTCAACACATTTTCAATGTAGGATTTCTGCCATGAGTCAAGAAGCTTCTGTATAAGCTGCTTCCAGCAAATTTGGGGAGAAGGGAGGTGCAGTTACTAGCAGTAGCCTTTTTTGACCACAGATACTTGGCATTGAAATGTAAATTTCAAACTATTTCCACAAGTTATGCCACTCATTGTCTGAAATTATTCCTTTTGCCTGAAAATGTTTCTTCTCAGAGCCGCCAGAAGCTTACAGCCAAGTCCTACATAGACAAAACTTTCTGAAATCCCTGATTGAATCGGGCAATTTAGTTTAGTTTTTGTGTTTTGCTTTCTAAACCCAAAACCTGATGTTTAGATTAGAACTATCATGAGTGTCATTCAGACCTTGGAAAGATTTTCCTCGCTGACCACTACAAGTCACAGATCAAAATGCTTTGCAGAAGATCATTATTTTTCAGGAGGGTGAATTATTTGAGTCCATTTTAGGAGCTTGTCATTACTTTTTAAAGATCACCCGATATGCATCCTTTGTTACTGGCCTTTGTACTCACTCCACAGTCTCCCTGCGTGGCTTTTGACAAGTTTTTGTTATGCCCCACTGCAATCTCTCTGGCTTTGGTTAGATCTTCCTGAATCATGGGGAAAACCAACATTCCATTGCGCTGAGGGTGAAGCACTAGAGCCCGAAAGCAAGGCTGTAGTAAGCGAAGGGTGAGGGTGGGTGCTGCGTGAACGGGCTTCTTTGTCAGCTGATTGGTGGGACAGGTGGCAAGGAGCCCAATCCTGATTTTCTTGCTGGTGATTTGTTCATGGAAGAGATACTGTTACTATTTGACCCACGGAATCCGAAGAGATATGATTGCCCCTGAGGAGGATGGAGTGATGATTAGGATTTCGAAGCTGATTTCTAGCAAGCTGCTGACAAGTCCCTCCTTGGAACCCCTCCTGGTCACTCTGGTGGATGAAATGGAAAATGACTATTACAGTAGCCTCATGAAAAGCATTGGTAAGACTGGTACAAGTGGGCTGAGGGCCCCTGATGAGGGAACCGTCTTTCATTGTTCTACCAAGTAAACCCTAAACAGCATTTAACCGTTCATCCAAAAGTTCTCTCACCCCAGCAGCATCATTAATGCCTGTAATAGCTCTTCTCACTTCAGTGTACATCATTACCCAAGGATCTTATTAAAATGCAGATTTTGATTCAGCAGATTTGCCTTGGGGCAGAAATCATTATTCTGCATTTCTAACAAGTTCGGCCATAACTGACATGAAGCAACATTATGGGGAACAAGAGCCTATTTGAACTTTGAAACTTAGTCCACGACCTGTATCTTCTCTGACGAGCTTTTCTCTTCAGCCCTCAGGGGTCACTCCCTCTGCTGCATTTGTAGCACCACTTCTTTCCACTTTCAGCTCCTGCTTACAAGTTCTCCCGTGCCTTTCTTTCTCTGCTGTTTTTCACACTGGCACTGTTTTCTCATTTCCCACGGTCTCGACTGCTGGGTAGGCCTGTAGCACTTGGCTCCGTGGATGCACCTCGATTCTCTTTCCACTTCATCCTTAGCCATGCCTTCTGCACATGGTGAGTCACTGGGGAACGTTTGGTGCTGGGTGAGTGTATGAGAAACATCAACACAAAGGCATGGTCCTCATATTTTTATACCTTGTGGTCTCATCTACCAAGTTGTCTAGTTTTTTGTTTTAATCTTCCTAACTTTCTAAGGGCGTCAGTGTAATTGCTTTTTGTCTACTATATACAGACACCAGCCTCCGTGAATAAACATGCCAGGTCCTTCACTTCTACCTCCAACTTGCTCCTCCAATTTTATGACCTTGAACTTCACCATTTACACTTGCTATTTCTGCCACAGTGTAGCTCACAGACCCTTAAGGAACAGTGGTGGCACTTCACCTCCTTACATGCTATCCCCTCTGCCCCCATGCTTGTCCTTTCTCTTCCTCGCTAACAAACTGCCATTCATTTATGGCCCAGCACACCTTACTTCTTTCATGAAACTTGTCGCGATCTTTCTTCCCTTAGCATGGAAATCTTGGTTTCTAAGTTTCCATTTGTAAATATCTAGTGCTAACCATTATATTGATTTTGGGGTAACTATCTTAGTATGAATGACTAAGGAGCTATCAAAGTACGTTGCATGTAGGGTGCTAAATATCTTAGCCGGACTCAACCCCAGGTTCTGAGAGTTTTGTACTGTGACCTTTCATTCCTTTTCTCCATGAAATACTTTCACAAAGATACTACACCAACTACCCCCTAGTTGAGTCCTAGGGACTACCAATGACCTTACGAATGAGGGAGCATTTCCCAGTGTGAATGGACAGAGGCTCAGTTGCTTTATGAGTCCGAGGATAAGAGCACAAGAAGTTAAGCTAGTTATAGTGTTGAATCCCTCTAATCCCAGTACTCTAGAAGGCTGCAGAAGGAGGATTCCAAGTTGAAACCCAGCCTAGGCAAATTAGTGACTTAGTGAGACCTCATCTCAAAATTTTGCAAAAGCAAAAATAAAAAATAAATAAATAAATAAATAAAGGCTGAGGTGTAGCTCAGTATGAAAGTTTTGGTTCCAGTCCCCAGTGAACAACAATGCATGCACAGCACTTTGACGGTCACTACCTCACAGCAGGGTGTTTACCCTCTTGCTTCTAGTTGATTACATCCTCATGGACCCAGTGGAGAGGAAGAGGCTCTTCATCGAAAGCATCCCCCGCCTTTTCCCTCGCAGAGTGATCCGGGCGCCCGTGCCCTGGCACAGTGCCTACAGGAGCGCTCACAAGTGGAATGAGGAGCATCTGCACACGGTGAACCCCATGATGCTCATCCTGAAGGAACTGTGGTTTACAGAGTAAGAAGGCCTCCCCTCCCTGGCGCCCCTTCCTTCCTTTCCTCCAGGAATAAACAAGCTGCTAGGCAGGGCACAACCAGAGTGGCTCTGAGCCCGCAGCAAAGTGAAATGAACAAAATCTTAGCTCAGAATTGCAAATGGACTGTGACTGAGAGCCACACATACAAGCTTCCGTGGTCCTGCTTGTGTCCCCCAGGGCCCCAGCACCTGGCGGTAATCAGGGGAGTAGGCTGAGAGCACATTCTGGAGCCAGTGCTCCAGAATTCAAATCCTGGCTCCGCCGCTTCGTAGGTAGTATGGCTGTGCTATAACACCTTTCCCTGTCTTCCTTTCTCAGAATTTGGGGTAATAAAAGTTCCCACTTCATGAGGTTGCTGGGAGGAATAAATAGCTTATCACACACAGTACTTAGAACTAGGACCAGGGAGATAGCTCAGCAGCGTAAGTGCCTGCCTGGCAAGCACAAGGTCCTGAGTTCAATCCCCAGTACCGTAGAAACAAAAAACAAAGCAGTTAGAACTGTGCCTGATGAAACCATACTCAGGAAGTGTTAATTCACCGTTACCTGCCTCCATTACAACACATCTCACCCAAAAGTATAATTGTATATCTACTCATCTGTTTCTCTCTACCTGTGAGATGTATAGGAGCTTGGGTCTTATTTCTTTATGACATCAGTACCAACACAGAGCTTGTCAGCAGCGTCTTTCAGTCTTGTTTGTCAGTGACTTAATTGGCAACTAAAATGGTAGTAGTCTAAAGTACCAAAGGGGTGTCACTTTTCTTTCTTCCAGCTTTAAAGCCTGAGACATACAGTTGGCTCATTACACATGGGGGATTGGTTACAAGGCTGCCAAGAGTCACCAGTATTCATGGATGTTCAAGTCCCTTGTATGACATGGCACAGTAGGGCTGGGGATATACCTCAGTGACACAAGCACCTGCCTGGCAAGCACAAGCTCCTGAGTTCAATTCCGGAACAACAAAAAAGAAAAGGCACAGTATTTGCATATAATCTACAGACCATCACATATACTTTGGGTCACCCCTGGGTTCCTCATCATATCTAGTACAATGTAAACACCTTGCAAATAATTGCTGTGCTGCCTAGGAAATGATCACAGGGAAAAAGTATGTATATATTAGGTCCTATTTGTTTTTCAAATATTTTTCATCCATAGCTGGTTGAATCAATGCACGTGGATCCCACAGATCTGGAGGCCAATTGCAATTCACATTCCACAAAGCCCACACTTTTAAAGTGCATGGCGGTGTACTCTTTAGTATACTTGCAAATTTTTGTAACCTTTGCCACTGGCTGGAATATTGTCATCACTCCTTATGGAAACCCTATGCGCATTAGCAGTCATAATCTATTCTTCCTGTCAGCCCCTGGCATCTGCTCATATGCTGTCTTTCTGTCAACATTGGGCTAGTCTGGACATTTCGTACAAATTAAATCATAAAATATGACCTTTTGTGTGTAGCTTCTTTCATTAAAGCTTTCAATGTTTATCTGCACTGAAGTACAGATAAACTGAAGTACAATGTTTATCTGCATATCAGTACTATGTTCCTTTTTATGGCTGCATAATAACCCATCATGTGGCTATACTAGGTTTTGTTTATGCATTCACTAGTTGTTCTGGAGAAGGAGAATCCTGGGGAGTTTGTTTGTAGGCCTGTCAAGAAAACTATTTACTGAAAAGTCAGGCTAATAAACTGGTTAACTACCACCATCTAGATTCTTAATTAGGAAAGTTAGAGGTAGATATATGTACTTGATTTTGATTGACTAATCCTAACCATGCTCATATATTTTGTTTTAGGAAGGTCTTTGGCTTTGAATGCCTTTAGTGTTAAGGGACCCTTGTTGCTTGGAAACTTTATTTGTCCTTCTTATGTCCAGAGCCCATCAATGATATAAAAAAAAACAAAAAAAAAAAAACACACACACTCTCCTCTATGAACTAAATTCAAGTTTTTAAGGCATTGGAAATGCCAGCCTCAACACTGGGGTGGAGTGAAGAAGTTAATTTTCTACGTAGGCAAAAGTGTATATAGAGGAATAATTTGTAGAGTTGGCTCTGAAGCTGTCTTGCCCAGGTTGTGGTTTTTGCTTTAATCACTAATTAATTATGTGATTTCTGGGAACATTAATTCCTCTGCGACTTTTTTATATGTAAGTTAACAGCAATACCTGTTTCAGTTGTTGGGTGGAGGTGGTGCTTAGAGAATTGCTTGGCATACTGTAGTCGTTTATTAAAGGTACTGATTTAAATACAAGCATGCTAATTTCCTCAAAAAAAAAAAAAAAATCACCACGAAGACTGGGTCGTCGCCACAGGGGACCAGAACGTAGGCATCAGGGTTTTGGGAGGCTAAAGAAAAGTGCCTGATAAGTCACTCAAGTGGGGATGAAAATGACAGGAAAACCCAAGGTGAGTTAAGAAGTGGGGCAAGGAAGTAGTTTGAGAAGCGAGAGGTAATGATGTGTCTTAGTTACTCTTCTCTCGTTGCTAGGACAAATACCTGACACGCAAAATGAAGGAAGGAAAGGCTTATTAGCTCACAGTTACTGGAGGTCTCAGTCCATACTCAGCTGGCTCCAAGGCAGAGCGGCTCACGGCAGAGAGCAACCTTCAGGGTCGCAGCAAAGAGCGAGAGCGCAAAAGGTGGAGAGCAGCCGCTCCAGCAGCCAGCTTCTCTTCCCTCCTTCCATTGAAATGCCAATTTCCTGCCCCAGGGCAGGTGCAGCGTCCACACACAATAATCACAAATTCGCCCCAAGACTGCATGAGGCTTTGGGGGGACACCTATACAGAAGCCATAACATGATGACTTAAGGAGCATTTTAAAAATGAATGAGCAGATACGAGGAAAAGAACTGGTGAACGTACGAGCTAAGAGGCCTTGGGGAGCATAGTGAGCTGCAGGCTCCTGTTCTTTTGCGAGCACCAGACAAGGGCAGCGGAGCACCGGCGGGCAGAGGACTCGCCCGCATCCGCGCACGGCCCCGAGGGCGCACGCCAGGGTGCGGGGCTCGCGCGGGCGGCCTCACGGTGGTGCTGAGCGTGGCTCAAGTGCAAGGTCAGGCTCTGCCTCCGCGCGCCACAGAAATTCTACCCGGCCTTTTCGAAACTGCGTCCGCAAAGGCGGTGGGCTCGGCTGACCTGCGGTCGCAGGAGGGAGCTGTCGGTCGGGTCAGGAGTGAGCCCCGCTTTATTTTTGCCTCACGGATTTTGCGGAACTCCGTCCCTTCTGGGCTAGCCCCGAAGCAGGCAGGGCGCGGGGAAGCCTGCTGGAGGAAAGCTGCCGCAGAGCTGGCGGCGCGGAGGCGCGGGGGAGGGCAAGCCGCCCTCCGGGCCACCCCGGCCCGGCTCCTCGTGCCTCCCGAGCCCCCTCTGGGCACAGCAGCGTCTGGGCGACGTTTCAGGTCTAGTCCATAGTGTCTTCCTTTCGTCTAGCTAGTCTTGCCTCAAACTTCCAGATTTTTCAGACGTAATCTGTCTTACTTTGCTTTGGGTGTCGTCCACTCCGAAACGAGAACTTGTACCCCTTAAACCCGTCCTGCAGAATTTGTCATTTGTCATTCCACTGAGGAAAGTTTTCCCTCTCCTTTGCAGATTTAGAGACCTCAGGTTTGTTCGAACAGCAGAATTGCTGGCGGGCAGACTTCCTCTGCAGCCTGCCGAGTACTGGGACCTCATCTGCAAGCACTGCGCGGAGGCTCGCCAGATTCTCCTCGCCAAGTCAGTACCCGGCGCGGGGTGCGCCTCGGCCGGCCAGGACCGACCCGCAGGGAGCGGCTGCCGCGCCTGGAGCGCAGTCCGTCGGCCTCCGCCGCTGCCTTCCCTCCTCCCACGTCCCGCACGCAGCCTCAGCCGGCTGCTCGGCGCCTTCCCTTCCAGACTCCTCCCGCCTTTCACGGCCTCTCTTACCCTCTGTGAGAGTACCACTCCCCCCCACCCCTTTTTGTTTATCCACTATTGGTAGAAAGTGGTGGCTTACAGGAAAGTGTGTTTAAGGGACTTACACTCAGATGGTCTGTCTATACAGCCTCTTGGATAAAAGGCTAGGAGTTTTTCAGGCGCTTAGACAATTTTTTCCCTTTGCAAGTGTATGTGAAATCACATCTTGATTTGGAGAAATGAGTTTAGATAAAGTGATAATATCTACTGATGGGTTTTTATTATCAGAGAAATTGTACCTATGTAACAACTGGTACATAAGAGCTACTCAATATCTTTTATTACCCTTAGGGCTACAACTGTTAATGTTACTTCTTGATTGCTACAGTAGTACTTTTGTAGCAATCAGAAAATAAACATGATAGGATGAAATTACCAGTGGTTCTCACTGGGACTTAGAAATCAGGTGAAGTGAGGAGTGGCACACCAAGGCACCCCTTTCTTCTTTAGTTGTCTAGGTTTTGTACACAAATTTCTCAGCATCCATTGCCACGTTGAACTTTCTTCTCTCGAGGTTACCTCCGTTTCTCCTCTTTCTTTGTTTCTATCTCTAATGTCTAAATAAGGTGCCTACTCTAGAGAGAAGTTGGACAGAACATTCCAGTTCACTACACCACTTCACCTCAATCTGATTATAATACTGGTACTGCAGACTGTCGCAGCAGAGCATGCCACCATATCCTCGGTCCATTTGGCGATGGTCAATAGAGCAGTCTCTCAATTCAATTATTATTTTCTTCCAGGAAAGGGGTCTTGGCTGGTGAAGTAACTGAGAGTATGAAATGACAAATTTCCAAGGCTTCCTAGTGGGAAGTAAACTCTGCCTCACCACAGAGAGCAGAAGGGTGGCTGAGAGCGTCCCTTGTAGCTCAGAAAGCTTCCTACAGGGCGACCTTCTGTTTTCACAGGTGGATTCCCACTTGTGCCCAGCTTTTTGTCTCATGGAAGGAGCACTGGGTCCACTTTGCTCCAAAGGGCGACTATGATTCATCTCGAAATATTGAGGAATATTTTGCTTCTGTTGCTTCCTTCATGTCACTCCAACTCCGAGAGCTGGTTATTAAATCCCTTGAAGATCTTGTTTCTCTGTTCATGATACACAAGGTATGTAGGGGTAAGCAATGGCCCTCTTGAAGGAAACAATCCATTTAGAACTAGGATTCCAGCGTGGATATCATGAGCTGTGATCTAGGCCAAAAAGAAAATTATGGATTTGAATATATGTTGGGTGATTATTTATAAAAATTATGTCTTTAGTATACAGTATAATGTATAAGATGTTTACCCACTATTGGTAGAAATCTATAAAAATAGAGATTGTAAAGACAATTGAAGGAATGGTTATACATACATGCATACATACATATACACACACACACACCTCTTACAATGTGTGTGTTTGTGTGTGTGTGGCCATGTTTTGTCCTCTGTGACACAAGAAAAGAGTTGGAAAAGACTTTTATGGTACTTTGGCTTGATACTTAAGAACTATCCTATGCACTCACTGACAGCAGTGATTTTTGTTTCTTGGTCTTGGAAAAACAGCCTCCGCAAACAAAAGTCTTTTTTACCTAATTAATAATTTTTTCATGGAACTACTGCAGTGAAGTCAAAATAAATTAAAGCCAGAGGCCAAGTTGGTGCACATGTCTGTAATCCCAGCACTTAGGAGGCTGAGGCAGAAGGATTGCTATGAATTCAAGTCAGCATGAACAAGGTGGTGAGACCCGCCCTCCCAATTAAAGCACTAAGTCGTTGTTTTCAAAACATCACAGTCTCTAGATTTGGGCAGCTGAGGGATCCAGGAAAGTTCTTGAAATTTTATCCCGTGTGCATAGATCATCTTGAAAAGGATAATATAGACTTAAAATTATCTGGTTATAAAAGGTTAAATTCTAAGCATTTTTCCAAATAAAATACAAGTGAATATTTGACTCTGCTTGAAAACTGTACAAATAAACGCTGCTGACTTTTGACTGCAGTGTTTACACTAAAGAGAACACTGTGCAGTTGTTGTGGTAAGCGACCCCTTTACTCAGCAGAAGAAAGCCCAATATGCCAAGAAATCTCACTCTGAAGTTACACACAGAGAAAAGTAAAGTATTTATATGGCTGAGGGGATGAGGAGTTTATGAGGGTTTGATACATGTAGATATTCAATAAATGTTTATCAGCTTTAAGCACATCTACAAATCTCTAAAATCAATTACTTGGACAAGTTCTTTACAGCTGCCCTAAAGAAACTTCATTAGGGACTATAGTTCATGAGAGGTACCTTGTGTTTCTAGCTTTGGTATAGAATCAGAAAACCTCTCCATCAGTATTTTTGTTGTGGGAAGATTTACATTTCAGTACCTGAATGACTCCTTTCTGATGGCTTTTTAACAAAGCCATTTGTGGCCACTTTATTCATGCTTCTGGATCTAGTCAGCAAATTTTTATTGAACACCTACCTGTGCTAAATGCTATCTTAGGAGAAAAGAGATGGACCAAACATAAATCCTAGGGCTGGCCAGATAGCTCAGTGCACTAAAGCACCTGCTTAGGCAGAGCACAAGGTCTGGGGTTCAATCCCCGACGTGCTGTGCCAGCCCCACCCCTGGGGCCCTCTGAGATAGCAATTGAGCCTGGACATAGTGATGCATGCCTGTAATCCCCGCACTTGGGAGGCTGAAAACAGGAGAATCAATATGAGCTCAGTCTGTGTAGTGAGACCCTGTAGGCGCTGTGGACCCTGTACTAAATAAATAAATAAATCTTGTCGGCAAGTTGAGAATAGAGAAGGTAATATATGTAAATAAGTGCCTTCAAAAGACAAAGACCACATACTGTACAGGTAGTGGAAGGATAGAAGTTCAGAAGTGGAGGAGATTTTATGCAGGTAGGGAACAGGGAGGTTTCCCAGAGGAGGGGAGCTTTAATCTCAATTTTAAAGGATGGGAATAATTTAAAAATTATGGGCAAGAAGTACTAAACAAAAATGACCCTGAATAAAGGCTTTGGGAAAGGGTGAGAGCATGAACTCAGGGTGGGGGTAAGGTCCCCCAGCTCATGTTATGAACATGAACTGCAGGCAGGTAACGTTCATTTCCTTTGTGTGTGTGTGTGTGTGTGTGTGTGTGTGTGTGTGTGTGTGTGTGTGTTAAGGTAGCACGATAAATTCACTTCCATGATTTTGATCCAGTTTTATAATATTTGCCCTACCTCATGTCTTTTGAAGGATGGAAATGATTTTGAGGAACCATACCAAGAGATGAAGTTCTTTATACCACAGCTGATCATGATCAAACTTGAAGTCAGTGAGCCCATAATTGTCTTCAATCCATCTTTTGATGGTTGCTGGGAATTAATAACCAACTCTTTCTTGGAAATTATTAAGAACTCTGATGGAATCCCGAAGGTACAGTATTAACTTAATTATCATATTTTTGTCGTACAATGTGTTAAAATCATTATACAAGACACAGCAATGCCTGAGTGAGGCTGCAATTTGCTTCCAGCTTTTATTCCATCATTTTTAATCCTTTATTCTTTTGCCTGCCTTCCTTCCTTCTTTCCTTCCTTCCTTTTATGGTATATGGTACCTTGGTTCTTGAACTTTATTTTTTCCGTGATTCTGGTCATCATCCAAATTGGTTGCAAACCAAATCAAATTTCTCCATAAATTCAACATTGATCCTAACCCTCGAATCTGATTCAGTTCACAACCATTCAGCTTGTGACCAGAATCATAGGAAGATTTTCAGTTTGTGAGCTGAGGTTCCACTGTACTGGGAATTGAGCCTGAGGCCTTCTCACTGAGCTACAACCCCATACTTTTCCATTTTTTATTTTTAGAATAGGGTCTTGCTTAATTGCTCAGACCAGGCTTGAAATTGAAATCCTTCTGCCTCAGCCTCCTGAGTGCTGGTATCATAGATGTCCGATTCCATACCTGGCTTTTCTCCAGACATTTGTAGCTTATGTTTAGTCATATATAAAGCAAGATGTGTAGGGGATGGGGGAACTGTCTGTCTGCCACTGTTTTTAAACTTTAAGTATCCAACTTTAGGGTGATTCTTTAATTTTTTGCCACCTATTCAGAGATCAAAGTCTGAGGAGTTTGGGGTTGGGAACCAGTGCTATAGTGTTATAAGAAATAATACCAAGCATTAACGGATGGGATCTTATCAAATTTAAATGCTTCATTACAGCAGACAGAAAGAACAGAATGGGGCTGGGGAGATGGCTCAGTGGAATAAACGCTTCCCTGGCAAGCGCAAGGGTCTGAGTTCAATCCCCAGTTCTGAAAAAAAAAAAAAAAAAAAGAAAGAAAGAAAGAAAGAAAGAAAGAAGAAACAACAGAATGAAGAGATAACATATAGGAATGGGAAAAACTTGCCAGCAAGTCTTCTGATAGAGAACTAATATCTAGAATACATAAAGAACTAAAAAAAAAAGGCGGGGGGCCGGGGAGATGGCTCAGTAGAATAAGCGCTTCCTTGGCAAGCACAAGGGCCTGAGTTCAATCCCCGGTTCTGCCAAAAACAAAAAAACAAAAACAACAACAACAACAAAAAAAAAAACCCAAAAACTCTCGGGGCAGGGGAGATGGCTCAGTGGAATAAGTGCTTCCCTGGCAAGTGCAAGGGCCTGAGTTCAATCCCTGGTTCCACCAAAAAAACCCTCTCCCAATGAAAGATGCCATCCAAACCAGGCAACTGAAATGAGACACTTCTCAGGAGAAGTATAAATGGTCAACAAATGCATGAAAAAAGTTCATCATCCTGGTCATTAAAGAAATGCAAATTCAAAACAATAATGAGATTTTGTCTTAATCCAGAAAGGAGGCCTAATATCAAAGTTTATTTATTTTTTATTTTTATTTATTTATTTATTGGCAGAACCAGAGGTTGAACTCAGGCCCTTGTGCTTGCCAGGCAAGCACTTATTCTACTGAGCCATCTCCCCGGCCCCAAGGAAGGCTAATATCAAGAAATCAAATAATAATTGCTAGTAAGGCTACAGGGAAAAAGGAACCCTTTTACATTGTTGTTAGGGATGTAAAGTAGTACAACATTATGAAAATCAGTATGGAGAGCCCTCTGAAAATTAAAACTAGACATTCCATTTGACCCAGATATTCCTCTTCTAGGTATTTTCCTGAAAAGGTTAAAGGAATCATATTACAATGATACATATATACCCATGCTTATAGAAGTACATCCCAGGACATGGCAGCTGTCCAAGCCAAGGCATATACCCTCGATCACCCTGGGAGACAGAAAAAGCAAACGAACTACTGGGCTCTATGCTGGAAGGATACAGAGGGGCAAAACAGTTTCCATGAGATATCAGTGTTTTTAGAACGTTTCCTCTCAGGAAACCATGTAGCTGGCCTGGCTTTTTCATCACAAAGGGTGGGATTGTTGCGGCCTTCACAACTCAGGGAACCTGTGACAAGCCCATAGACTCACTTCACTTCAGGGTCTCTGGGGCACGCTTACCACAGTGACTGGACAGGATATGGTCACAACTGGAAGTTATGGAACAGAGGTGAGCTTATCACAACTCCCTGAGTTGTGAAGGACACAAAGATCTCACCCTTTGTCATGAGAAAGCCAGGCCAGCTGCATGGTTTCCTGAGAGGAAATGTTCTAAAAACACTGACATCTCAAGGAAACTGTTTGGCCCCTCTTGCTGTCTTCTTCCAGCCTAGAGCCCAGTAGTGCATTTGTTCTTTCTGTCTCCCAGTGTGATCGAGGGTATGCCTTGGCTTGGACAGCTGCCACGTCCTGCGATGTAAGGACAGAGGGAGCTTGTAGCAAGTGCTGTACCTCCTGAGCCCATGGGACAGAAAACTTGTTGGAAATAGCAGTGACTTGGTGAACACAGAAGGGCACAAACACTTTAGAGTCATTATTCCGAATATAGTCCCAAGGCATATACCACACCACTGTCTGACCAAACCCAGTAGGAATGGTGAAGACTGAGCATTCATAGAGCAAAAAGTGTATGGATAGAAACAAAATAGGCCCTAGCTGTGACTCCCTGTTCCCTGCTAGTATCTGGTGGATTTCAGTACCACAAGCCTGGGAAAAGACCCTACCCAAACATCTGGAGAAGGTTTTAGGATCATTTCTCTTTTTCTTTCTTTTCTTTCATTTTTTCATAGTTTTGTTTTGTTTTTAGCCTTTTTCTTTCTTGTCTTTTCTGTTGCTTTTATCTAATTCTATTCCTTTATTAGAGTTTTTATTAGTACAAGTTTAATTATATAATATTTAAATTCCTTGTGTGGAGTTTATACATTAACACTTCTTTTTTTTTTTTTTAATTTATTTGAGAGAGAGAGAGAGAGAGAGAGAGAGAGAGAGAGAG